CATAATAAACTTTATAAAAATATATATTCCCATGGTATTCAGGGGTTGAAATGACAAGAAATTATCTTTTAAAACAGCACAGGGTTTATGAGGGGGTCCCTGGAAATTTTTTCGCCCTTGTAAGGGGTCCCCAGACTCAAAAGGTTTGAGAACCCCTGCTTTAGAGTCAACCCAATTCAAGAAGGCTGCCACAGCCTGTTGAATTTAGGAAACACAAGAACATCTATAACTCAGTGGGTTTTGCAGAAATTAGGCTAAAAATTGGTGTAAAAGTAGCTTTATCATCAACACACACATTGAGGATTATCTATTGTACAACATATTTGATAAAAATGTTGGACTTAACTGTGGGCACAAACCCTGTTTGTCAGTTAACAAAAAAATTCTCCAACTGATGGGAACTGACTTAAAATTTGTTGTGGTAGTAGCTGAGTGTCGTTCACAAYRCACACTCTGAGCACATCTTGTGATATTGCATGAGACTGCAGGTAATGTTGTGTTAATGTGTGTGTGTGTTGCAGGGGCGCTTTCTCCGAGGTGGTTCTTGCAGAGGAGAAGAGGACCCAGAGGCTAGTAGCCATCAAGTGCATCCCCAAGAAAGCGCTGGAAGGCAAAGAGAACAACATTGAAAACGAGATTGCGGTCCTCCACAGGTGAGCTCTCTGAGGTTACCTGCCTGTTGGTGCTGCAGCAGCTTCCCTGCATGCACGCGTGCAGCCAAGGTTACGGGGGTCAACCTGTAAAATAAATGGAATAAGATGACTAAACGGCACGGTGTCGGTGGAAAACAGTGGGATTGTGCGCCGGAAATGTCAGGAGTAAAAAAGAAGATAGACCTATTTTTAGTGATCCTGTTGCCGGGGCAACAGCGCACAGAGGCGGGGATGGTGTGGAGTTCCCCGCAGCAGTGTGTCGAAGAAAAGGGAAAGAGACGAGGAGGGTGGAGATGTGTTGGATGGAAGAAAAGAGAACGATCGGAACGGAGTTTGGACAAATATTTAAAGTGGCAGAAAAATCAAAAGCACCCATTGTCAGGAAGTTTTACAGAGTAAAAAGAAGGAGGAGGGGGATTTATTCATCCTGTTTGCCTTTTTCTGCTGCTGTGGTGTTACTGACAGCTCATATGCTCTCAGTTTGACTCGAGAGCCAGGAGTGATGCTCATCCGTCTGTCAGCCACTCTGTTCACACGGCTTTTTGAGTGGCATCAGAGCAGCATTTGTTTTCTGTTAAGGCCCATAGCTTTTCTTTGCACATCAGCTGCATTTGAGCATCTTTAAAGCGGGATCTGTCCTCTCTGGACGTGATTCGAGCTTCACCTGACTCTGATTTCTGTCCCAAATCTTCCTCAGAATCAAACACGCCAACATCGTTTCGCTGGAGGACATCTTCGAGAGCACATCCCACCTATACCTCGTCATGCAGCTGTGAGTTCCTCTTTGTCTTTAAGAAGACCAAATTAAATGCTAGAATGTTCACGTTTCTCACACATTCATACTTCACATTGTGCAGCAGAAATAATTTCATGTTCTGTTAGAAAGTAATGGCTTTCTGTAAAATTTGCCAAACTTTTCAGATACAAAGCATCTAAAGTTGGATTTTTCATTTGTCCTTATCTAAAAAAAAGTTTTTCCCTGCAGAAACTGGATAAACAGCTAAAAAGAACTTAATTGGTAAACACATTATTAGAACTGTCTTTTCTTTAACATTGACTCACTCTGTCCTGTAATGCCTTTAAATATAGTAGATTGTATGTATATCCTGTTTGCAGCCACCTCACCTCACTCTTTTTTTATTCCCTTTCAAGGCTCAGTCTTTGAAAATGTTCATATGTAGAAGATTTATTTATTTATTTATTAATCTAGAAATTATTTCGGGACCATATACTTGTTGCTTTACGACCCAGAATGGGACCCCGACCCCAACTTTGGCAACCAAACTGTCTGTTTCATCTTAGCTATTAACTAAACTTTCTCTCTTTTCTTTATTAGCTTATGCAATTTAATTTTTTCAATTCAATTCTATTCAAAAAATGTATTCATTTCTTTAAAAAACTAAAATAACTATATACAATAGAAAACAAAGAAAATACAAAAAATCAAAAATCTAAATAAAATGAAAGGTAGCAGAAGAATAAATCTTATAATNAAAAAAAAAAGGTTTGTCTGAATAATAATGAGTTAATGTGTTCTGCACCCTCTGATGGAGCACTGTAAATGCAGTCGATGTAAACACAATACAATGCTTTTTACGGGTCGATGAGAACTGGAGCTTTATGGGATTATGCTGTAAAATGATTTAAGGGTGTATTTAAAATGAAAGAAGAGATGGGTGTGAAATGGTCTGTAGCTTCACCTGTGCAAACATTTCTGCTGCGTTATTTGCTGAGCACAAGGTGTGGTTCACCTTGAGGGTGGATTGTCAAAAAAAGATGAGGTAAAACCCATGTAGGGTAGATGAAGCTGAGAAGTGGGCAGATGCCGAATTTGTAGAATTGATAGCAACCTTTCAGATGTCAGAGTAAGTGTTTTGGATTATGCTCAGCTACCACCACAKTTTAGCTCAGTATCTGTAAAATTTGCTGAGGTGCAGCTATTTTTCGTGATGSTCGTCTGGTTGTGGCGACCATCTTAAATCAGGTTGACATTGAAAGGTAATGTACATTCAGTGATTATGTTTTAGTTTCAATGATCTATGTCTGCTGGTTCATGAAATATTTTACTAACAGACTGATATATGTCTACTGGTTCATGAAATATTTTACTAACAGATACATATAAACACATTATCACATTTGCTTTTTGGTGGGAGCTGATAATTAAGTTACAAACATTTCGAAACAAAAGGGAAKTCTGTTTTTCTTATTGCTAAAGTTAGCCTGGTTCAAACCAGACCCTGTCCTTCACTTTGCTTCGTACAAGGGTCTGGACTTGATGCATAGACAATCGTTTCTTGCAGGAGGCGTGGCCTCTGCTGAAGCATGTGTGTGTTGTCGGTGTGAAGGGAGGCTAAGCTAAGAAGCTAACCGGAAATCACGTGTGCTGTAAACAACCCTACTGAGAGGAGAAAAGTACCGAGCCGAACG